AAATGGACAGGAATTTAAAGGATATTTAAATCATTTGGAAAATCAACCAGATATTTGTGTTCAAGATACATGGCTTAAGCCTGAGTTAGATTTTGTGATAGCAGGATATGACAGTATTAAAAGAGATAGGGAACAAGAAAATGGAGGAGGGTGTGTAATATTTATATATAAAAAAAAGGTATACAGTATAGATTTTTAGGAAAAGGAATAACACTAGAATGGTCAATGGTGGAAATTTGTATAAATAAGGAGAGTATTAAAATAATAAATTTTATAATCCATGAAAAAAAAAATTATATGAAATGGAGGAAATGTTTAAAAATATAGGAAAAAGTCTAATCTGTTGTGGAGATTTTAATGCTTTTAGTACTTTGTGGGGTAATAAGAATGAAGCCAATGGAGAAGTGGTGGAAGAAATAATGGATAGAAAACAATTGATATGCCTTAATAATGGAGAAAGGACTAGAATTAAAATTAGAAATGGATATGAATCCGCGTTAGATTTACGGGAACTACAGGAAGTGATCATTATCCTATACTGATTAAAATTGGTTTAGAAACGCGTAAAATGGAAAATGAAAGCATAGAAAGATGGAAATTTGGAAATGTTGATTGGGACAATATAAAATACTAAGTGATGAAGAAATTCAAAAGGTTGATATAAATTTGGATGTTGATAAACTAAATTTTTCGATTTGTGAAGCAATTTTAAGTGCTGCACATGAAACAATCTAAAGAAAAAGAGGAAAATATAAGAAGAAAATAGAACATGGTGGACAAAGGAATGTGATTTGGCAATTAAATCTAGAAATAAAGCTTTTAGGATGTTAAAGAGAAATCTGAATTTTCTTAAATATAAAAGGTCACAAGCTCTTGTTAAAAGAACTGTGAAAAATGCCAAAAAGGTTTATTTTTGTGAACTTTTGTAATTCGGTAGGTAGGGAAACAAAAACTTCTAAAGTTTGGGGTATGATAAACTAAATGAATGGAATTAGAAATAAATATGGTTATCCAGTTCTGAAAGATGGAAATGTTATTGCTGTGACTGAGGAGGAGAAGGCAAACATGTTGGTCAAAACATTTGTTAAAGTTCACAGTAGTAATAATTTAAATTCAGAAGAAAAAATGAGAAGAATTTCTACAATCAAAGAAAATGTTGATTTACTAGAAGAAAATATAAGATGTAATGACTTATTAAATTGTTCTTTTTCAAAATATTAATCTCCAGGAAAAGATAATATTACTTATATTATGGTTAATAGGCTTAGTGCTGCATCCAAAAAGGCTTTATTGGATTTCTATAATAACATATGGGAAGTGTTTTTTTCCTAAGGTATGGAAAGAGGCAATCATATTTCCAATCTTAAAGCCAGGTAAAGAGCGTTCAAATCCAGCAAGTTATAGGCCGATTGTTTTAACTTCACATATATGTAAAATTATGGAGAGAATGATTAATAAAGATTGATTTATCAACATTTCAAAGGGGATTTAGAAAAGGTAGAAGCACTATGGATCCTATTCTTTGTTTAGAACATGAAATTAGAAAAGGGCAAGTTAATAAGGAGAGTGGCTGTTTTCTTTGATAGAGAGAAATCTTATGATATAATGTGGAAAGAAGGTTTTTAATTAAATAAAAAAAAAAAAAAGGAATTAGTGGATCAATGATTTTTTAAGAGACAGATCTATACAATTAAGAATAGGACAACATCCATCAGAAAGGTTTTTTGTTGAAAATGGTACACCACAGGGAAGTATAGTGAGTCCTTTGTTTTTTCTGTTATGATTAATGATACGTTTGACAATTTGGAGAGTGAATTGGGGTTTTCTTTATTTGCTGATGATGGAGCAATATGGAAAAGGGGGGAATTTTTTTATTTCATTGTTAGAAAGACACAAGAAGCAACTAATATCACAGACGATTGGTCTTTTAAATGGGGTTTTAAAATTTCTGTAAACAAAACAAAGATTTTATTTTTTGTACGAGGACGAAAGTGTCTGAAAATTTAAAATTGCAAATATATAATCGTGAATTAGAAAGAGTAAAGGAATTGAAGTTTTTGAGATTATGGTTAGATGAAAACTTTACTTGGAAAATTCATCTTCAAAAAGTAGTGGATAAGTGTAAGAGAGTTTTAAATGTAATGAGGTGTTTGGTGGGGAGTGATTGGGGTGCAGAGCGGAAAACAATGAAGGCAATATATTCTGGTTTAATAAGGTCTGTATTTGATTATGGTAGTATAGCTTTTGGATCAGCATCAGATACACTATTAAAAAAATTGGATAATATTCAGTATCAAGCCTTGAGGTCATGAACACCTCCAACATCATCTTTACTAGTAGAAATGGGAGATCTTCCACTTCAGTTCAGAAGATTACAGTTAAAGACTTCTTATTGGTGTCATTTAAAGGGACATATTGGAAATCATCCATGTCATGAAATTTTAAAACCTAGTTGGGAAAAGGAAAAAAAAAAGATTTTAAATTTGTTTGGTTGGAATAGAGAAAACATGACTTTGATTTAGCTTATACAAAAACAGTCAAACAGTTCCTCTTTCACCAGTTCATCCATCTAGAATTCCTAATATTGTTGTTGGTTTTACTTTGTTGGAGAAAGGGAAAAAAGAAAACCTATTAGATCCAATTTCAGTAAAAATTCATTTAGACAAAAAGTACTATGGATATGTCCAAATTTATACAGATTCTTCAAAAAATTCCAATAGCAATAGTGGGGTGTCATTCATTGTTCCAAAATTCAGTATTAAAAAATGTAAAAGAATTACTGATGGAGTGCTAGTTTATGGCGTGAATGGTTGTTTGCCCTGTGTGTCTCTGTGTTGCCCTGCGATGGACTGGCGACCTGTCCAGGATGTATCCCGCCTCTTGCCCATTGACAGTTTATGCAGGAGAGATGATGGGAATCATTTTGGCTTTAGGATGGATTGAGGAAGTTTGTGCTGTAAGAAGGATAATATGTTCTGATTCAAGTTCATCATTATATTCAATATAAAAATAATCATTCTAATAGTAGACAAGACCTTTTTTAGAGATTACATTTTTATTTTATAGAATTCAGACAATGGGTTTAAAAGTTATTTTTACATGGATACCGTCACATATAGGAGTAAAAGGAAATGAGTTGGCAGATAAATATGCAAAACAGGCAACAAAAAATGGTTATATTGATATGATACCATTTAGTAAAGAAGAAATTAAATCTATTATCAAACAAAGGGTTAAGGAAAGATGGCAAAAGCAGTGGGAAGGTGGCTTTACAGAATTCAAATAAAAGTTGGTGCAATGAGGAGAACAGGAAGAAATAGAAACCATTATATCCAGATTATGTTTTGATCATACAAGGTTAAATAGTACATTATTTAAAATGGGAAAACATCCAACAGGAAATTGCAGTAAAACATGTTTTCTTAGTGTGTTCTAAATATTCTGTTGCGAGAAGGGAATTAGTCAATTACAAGAAAATAAAAAGCAATTAAATATAATTAAAAGATATTTTGGACAAACTTTCTACTTCTTAATGTTTTTTTTTATTTAACGAATTACCTTAAGAAAAAAAAATTGATAAAAAGAATATAAGATTTTTTAACTTATTATAATTTTATTTCTTGTTTTGTGGGAGAATTTATATATAACATCAAGATCCACACTCCATTCCAGTAGATGGCGGTAATGGGCATCAATAAGTTGCTTGCCAAACCAACTGAATACTACCTACATTATTTCCTAATCTAAGTTCTCCAACAAGTAAAGGAGGATTTATCCAGTGGCCAGATTTGAACACAGTCAGGCTCTAAAAAGCTAAAAAGATTCATGCTGACGGAGGAGCAACAGGAAAGACTGGAGAAGACAGAAGGTGAATGCCTTTAAATTATTTATTTTAGAGCTTTAGTTTGTCTGAAAATATCAGAGAAAACATGGAAAAAGGTTGTTTTTAATTTATATGAAACCATTTAAAGAATTAAATATTTACAATCCATGAGGTTTTTATTGTTGCTCGTTCATCAATTTAGAAGTGATTACAATAATTAAAAACATCCACAGCAGAATATAATACATTAAACCAGTTTTATAAAATAGGCAGTACTTTCTTTCAATCATAGCAGTTAAATAGAACATCTACAGAATCAAGAACAAAACTATTAGAATTAGTTCAAAGGAAAATTATACTTTCAAAAATCTTTAAAAGGAGAAACTTCCCATTTCTAGAGGAGTGTCAGATTTCTTTAATACATTATTAAGAAAAGGGCTTTTAACCAAGTTAAAGCAGGTTCAAACTGATCAGCAAAAATGACAGCAACAACATCTTGTTTATCTTTTTAAACAAACACGTTTATTTGTTTTAGGACTTCAATTTACCTGAACTACAGACTCCAGCCTCTACACTAATTTCTTTGATGTCCCGTAGTTTAACCCCAATATATCCAGCTGATAGCTTATCATTTAGCCAAAAGTTTCTTAGTCCAAAAAATAAAACTTTTTTTATTTGAATAAATTAATTCAGAAAAAGTTGTGTCACACCATGCCAAAATGGCACAGTAGGGCTCAGTCTGGATTTGTTTTAATTTAGACATCTAGAACTTCTCAATTGCTTGTTGTATGGACAGCAAACTTGCTTCATCTGTAACCAAGATGTTGTCGTTGCACTTTATTATTTTTATTCCCTTCATCACAGATAAAGTAAGAAATCGTGAATATAAACTTCTTTTTTATTGGTAGGGAAACATGATTTTTTGGCTGTTTAAATCTAATTTACTCAGGTCCAAAATAATTAACTATTAAATGTTCAAAGCCCCATATTTGACCAGGACATGAATATTTACCAGGTTAACAATAAAACACTGTATCTGTTCTAGTTTCTATGTAAACAGAGCTGTACATTAATGCCTGTGAGTTTGTAAAGAGGTGAAGGAGTTTATAGATGGACATTTTATCACCAGTCAAACATGAAAAACGCCTCGACTGTTCATTCCTGTGGCGTCTTTAAATATAAATCATTCCACATCATGTATGAATAAATGTCATCTGAACACTTAATTACCTTCTTGTTTAAAACCTTTGTTACAAATCCTTTAGAACAGCTTCTCACCTTTGTGAGTTCTCATGTGTTTTGTTAAATTACTTTTTACAGTAAAACTCCTGTTACAAACGGTACAAGAAAAGGGTTTCTCACCTGTATGAACTCTGATGTGTGAATCAAGATGAGATTTCTTAGTGAAGCTTTTTCCACAGAACAGACATTTAAAAGGCTTCTCATCTTTGTGAATTCTCATGTGAGAAGTCAAACTACTCTTGTCAGTAAAATTGTTTTTACAAACCGTACAAGAAAAAGGCTTCTCACCTGTGTGAAGTCTGATGTGTCTATCAAGACTAGATTTCATTGTGAACATTTTTCCACAGAACAGACATTCATAAATCTTCTCACCTGTGTGAGTTCTCATGTGAAAAGTCAAATTACTCTTTTGAGTAAACTTCTTCTTACAAATCTTACAGGCAAAAGGTTTCTCACCTGTGTGAGTTCTCATGTGAGAAGTCAAATTACTCTTTTGAGTAAAATTCTTATTACAAATCGTACAGGAAAAGGGTTTCTCCCCTGTGTGAATTCTCATGTGCCTATCAAGTTTAGATTTCTTTGTGAAAATGTTTCCACAGGACCGACATTTATAAATCTCTTGACCAGTGTGAGTTCTCATGTGAACCATTAAATGTTCTTTTTTCAGAAAGTTTTCTCCACATGTCGAACATGGGAAAGCTTTCTCTTCAGTCTGCTGCTTCAGAACAAGCTGCTCTTCATGCTCACTAATGGGGAGCTCTGTGGTTTCCTCTTTTGTCCAGGGATGTTCTGGGGATCGCTGCTCTTCTTTTATCTGCAGAGCTTCTGGTTCCTCTTGTCCCAAACTGGAATTCCTCTCCTGTCCACAGAGCTGCTGGTCAGAGGAAACTTCCTCTTTTCCAACAGAATTCTGCAGGCGATCTGAAAGACAAACACAGCAAAAAGACTTTCTATTGTAGGCTAAAGAAAGGACAATTCACTTTAATCATCCTTTTGTTGATCTAACTACACATTAACAGACTAGAAATACATCTCCCAGCATGCAATGCAGCTCTGACATTGCAATAGCAGGTTAAAACAGACTGGTTAATTCTCCGCCATCTGGCAAGGTTAGGACCTCCACTTTTATCATCAAAGCTTTAGAATCTCTCTAAATGGATTACTTGCAGATTCTTAACCATTAAAGACATTTTAAAACAATTTTTTATTCCATTTTTTTTTTTTTTTTTTTTGCTGAACTGTCCAGGTTTCGCCATGCCTTTTACCCAGACACTGCTGGAGAAAGACACCAGCTCCACTGTGACATTATGGATAAGCCCCAAACGACGATAAGCACACACATTTATCAAAGAAGGCCAAAAGAAAAGGCAGGTGCTCTCCAGAAAGTCAGAGCTCCATCCCATTCTGGTCCGATCCAACTCTTTATCTAACATTCTGTCTTCAGTGACGTCAGTACAGAGCTAGATTGTCTGACACCTTAGACACAATAAGTAGAGAAGATTAAAAAAGATGGTAAAAAGACATAATGCACCTCTTCTGAAGACACAACATGGGTAATGCAGAACATCTTAAGAAAAACGGGGTGAAGTTAACATAGATGACATTTTCCATCACATTATTCTGCAAAAGAAATGTTGACTTCAATCAAAACAAAAGTTCAACCTTTACCCTCCCCGGTTTATTTCTACTTCACTTTCAAGCCTAGAGTAAAAACTAATCTATACTACATTCCTGTGACAAACTTTTTGTTATTCTCATGACAAAGATTCATGCAGCTCAAGCTCATCCTATTTGATGACTCAGTCCGTTTAAAATAAGAAAAAACACAACTGCATTGTCTTATTTCAAGTGCATTTTATCTAAATATCTTATTTTAAGAGTAAAAAGAATAATTCCATTGGCAAATCATCTCATTTACCTACTCATATTAAGGGTAAATACACTAAATTCATGATATTTTTACTTCTAGATCGTGAGAGTCTTCGTTTTAGAGATCTTAGACTGCTGTGGCACTCTAAAGCGCTGGTTATACTCCTGCAGCAGTGAGTCGCAGTGAGCTTGACGCAGACATTTTT